AGTGTATCCTAACACAAGTTAGGAACACTGCAAGACTCTTCCCAGTGCCATTGCTTGGAAATCTTTTTTAGCCTAATATTTTTGCTTTCTGGTTATTGTTAGTTTTTCTGTTATTTCATTGAACGTAATCAATGTTGCAGGTCACATTAATAAAGAGAAAAAACCTTGCCCGTCCTCTGACTAAATGAAGACAGGATCTTCTTCTTAAGTAAAGTTCTTCTCTCCCTCTAGGCTGAATTTCTGTTAACAGAAGGGTTATGTACTTCTCTGCTTCTGCCATTTGAGGGTACTTAAAAAATTGTGGACTATCACAATTAAAGCTAAGTTCAGAGGCCAGCATTGTGGTGTAGCCAGTAAAGGCAATGGCTGCGACACTGGCATCCCACATGGGCGCTGGTTCTGTGTCCTGGCTGCTCTAATTCTGATCCAGCACCCTGCTAATACCTGGGAAAGCAGCGGAGGATGGCCGAAGTGCTTAGGCCCCTGCACCCACAGGGGAGACCCAGAAGAAGCTCCTGGCTCCCGCTTCAGCCAAACCCAGACCTGGCCATCTGGGGAGTGAAACAGTAGATGGGAGACCTCTCTCTGTCTATCTCTCTCTCTTTCTGTCTCCGTCTTTCCTTCTTTCTGTCTAACTCTCACTTTCAAATAAAAAAAAGAAAGGTAGCATATTTCAGACAGGCATTTGAAACAGTGGTTAAGATACCACTTGGGGTGCCTATACCCCGTGTTCATGAGTGGTTTGAGTTCCAGCTCCATTTCCAATGCAGCTTCCTGTTAACATGCGATCTGTGAAGGCAGCAGATGGTGGCACAAGCAGTTGTGTCTCTGCCACCCAAATGAGAGACACAGATCGAGCCTCCTGGCTTAGGCCTAGTCCAGGCCTGCCTGCTGTGACCATTTGAGGAATGAATCAGTGGATGGAAGAGCTCTCTCTCTTTCTCTCTCTTTCTCCCTTAAATAAAATAAAAACAGATAAATAAAAATGAAAAGAAAAAAGCTAAGTTTATTTTGGTTCAAAAAATTTCCAAACCCATGGATAGTTTCTTCACAATACACATTTTCCGTTACTGCTTTGAAGACCCGCAGACTTCAGAACTGCACTCTGCTGTTGCTGATTCAAGAGCCCCTCATTGCACTGGCCTGGACCCTGGAAGCAAAATTCAAGCTACAGTTCCCAGAAAGTTAGTTTTTTTCCAACTGAAAATCTGTTTGATGCGTGCTTTCATGGAGCAAATGTCTGTGTTTAACACAGGGTTGAAATGCGCTCTAGTTCTCCATCATGACCCAAGACATTTTTTAAAGAAGAATGAATCGAAGGGAACATGAAAAAACTCACTGTGATATGCCACTTCAAGAATTTCCTTGGTACTCGAAATGTCTGGAAGTTTGAGCAGTGTTGCATAAGTCCAGAAAAGTTTCCTGGATGAAGGTTACCTGTGTGACTCATGGGACACCTCCTCCCTCCCAACCTCCACTGTTTTTCTCTTGTATTTGATTTCTTTGAAGAAATAACTCAGCTAAAATATAATCAACCATCACTTTACCAAGTATATCATGTTTCTTCCTTTTATTGTTTTATAGCAGCACATCTACCTGTTTTACTTGAAATTACAAAAGATAGGATCAAATATTATCTCCCGCTCAAATACCAATACAACTGAAATATACATGCTAACATTTTTTTAAAACTTCCGCAAACGTATTACCCACATACTCATTCTGATTGTCTGTTACTGGTTTCTTTCTTCTTCCTCTTTCCTTACAAAACTGTCCATTTACTAATGTGCATAAATGCCTGGACTAGTTTCTTAGCATACTATTCTGTTAGCACTACTGCTCTTAAAAAGAGAATTATTTTAATAATATATCAAGGCACAAAAGTGAAGCTCAATCCTAGGCAGCTGAGTGTTCATTAAGTAATTGCTGTTTTAGTTAGACATTAGCATTTTTTGCCAGAAAATCTGTGTTTTCTTTTCCTTCTTAAGTTCTCCCTCTAACTCCTAGCATTTCTCCAGTCTTACACCATAGATTGTTGTGGTTTTGTTGTCTACTCTGTAGAACTACTACCCCTCCATTTTTGCAAATCACAAACTTTAAAAACAGAGAAATAGCAAAAAAAATCCAAATTTATTTTGCAATTACATTATAATACCATTTTTATACTGAGAACAATAAATTGAAAGAATTTAAAAAGTTAGTATGTAATTTGAACAATTCATTTTGATACCTGCAAACTAATGAAGAAGAGCCATGTAATCCATATTGCTGTTTCTTATTAATATGATACATTGTATCACAATACATAAAATGTATGTAGAAATTATTTACAAATCCTCCATAAAGCCTTTTAAAAGTCATTGGTAACAGTAGAATGACCATGCAATTTGTCTCTTTCTGCAGTATTTTTTATGATTTCTTAATATTATTTATAATCAGAAAGAATAATCTCCTGATTATTTATTAATATTAAAATATTGATGAGCATTACCTAAGAGTAAGGAGCCTCCAGCTGGTATGTTAAGTTGAACTGTGCTGAAATGAAGCCAGCACAAGGGGCGTGTATTAAAAGAGCAGAACAAATGACTTAACAGAGGCCTAAAAGCAGCAATCAGAAAAGGTTCATTTAACACAGAGATGGCACAAGCTTCAAGCAATTGCCTTTCCTTAAGTAAGTGTGGAATTACAAAGGGCTATTTATTACAGTGCAACAGGGCCCAGCAGCTTGCTCAAAGACCTTTGAAGAAACTCAACTGTTAAAAAGTCTTGCTCAGTGCAGAAGCAGTAAAATCTAGACAGACCCCCAAAACAGCCTACAAAGTTTTCATTAAAAAGTTAATACAATCCTCTTCACAATTGTTCTGTAAAATGAATTATTTTCTCTCCTCTCTTTTTTAAAGGAGAAATGTCATGACTGGTTATTTTCAAAACTTCTTTGAAAATGTATTTGACTGTTAGGGAGAATGAACCAGTTTTGTAATGGTATGGAATTAAATGCAAAGCCTTATGGGTTTAAAGAGAAAGTGTTTTAATGTTAAGCTTCTTTGAAATGTCTGCAAGCACACATAAAGTCATTCTATTGATGGATTTGTTTCAGCAGAAAAATTCGTGGAATTTCTCCACTGTTTGTACAAAAAGCAAAATTTTGTTCCAAGGACATTGTGGCTTTAATTTCTTTTATTATTAATTGGAAATTGAATTGATTTTCCTAAGCATTAGGGTAAGCAAAAAATTCTTAAAAATTCAACATATCTGTTATTAATTTATAATTCAGTGAAATGTTTCTAAACATGGAGAATATTTACAAAACTTCAACTTTATACAACAAAAATAACATCTATTGCTTGGAATGAACTTCAGGGTAGTAAACCACAAGGGTGAGGGGATGAGGCCAATTTGGGAACTAACACAGAGGAATGTTGAATAGATGAAGAGAAGACATAAAAGGTAAATGATGCTAATTTACATGAAAGAATATTAATTGCTAATGGCAGCAGAATGAGAGTAATGAAATGCATATACTTGTTCGGAGAATAGTAACACCCTCTTGTTTCCTTGACGAAAGATTAAGTCGTCATTCCCAGGCCATTATACTGATAATGTATTAATTAAAAAAGAGTTCACATGGGGATCTTACAAGCAATAGAAACAGGTGGATGGGAAAATCACTACAATGGATTCTATACTTTGCTTTATCTTTTCACTGAAATAGTTCAACACAAGAATAATGCAAACACTATTTTTATGTGAGGAATAAAAACATGAAAGGCACTGATAGGGGCAATTTGAAAGGTCAGATACAAAAGTCATTGTATGATTATCATAGACATATCAAGTCAATAAATATGGAACTTTTACAGTTAGCTGTATGGGGAATACATATGCATAAGGTTCTAATTGACTTTGATATGAGAAAGTCTGTAGGGGAATTGATCCTTTAACAATGAAAACAATTCTATTGGTAATGTATCTACAACTTCCTGGGCTTTTGTTTATATTGTGTTAGTAATTTATTTTGCTGCATCCCATTAGTGCAGGGTGCCACTGAACTCCTGGGAAGCAATTTAGATTGACTAGTGTATCAGGATTATTTGAAGCCAGAAGTACATTGATGGATAGTGTGCACTTTTCTTCTTAATGGAAGGATTTGAAGTAGGAAATCACTTGAAATGTGTTTAATCTTCAATTGGAAATGAAGGTGATCCTATGACATCTGATCCCAACAGATGGGCTGTTAATTTGTGTTTCATACTTTTGATAAAGCAAGGCAAAACATTGCTACTGTAGACTCTCTATCAAATAAGAGCTCTCAAAATATATCTAAATAACTGTAATGCATATTGCAGTCATTTTCTTGGTACTTGTTTTTAAATATTTTTAAGAAACTTAAATTTAAAATGAAAGATTTTTATTTTCTTGATATATAATTTTATTCTCGAGAAACTGTTTCAGAAGTCAAGATCTACTGTAATACGTACTAAATCATATCTATTTTACAATACACTAAATAATATTATTACCTATGGATATCATGGGACTCCTTGTGCATAATGGATTCCAGTCCTCTTACAGAATTGCATATGAAAATGTTATCAATGAGCTGAAGAATCTGGCATTAATAAATTTGCAACATTATAGCAAATAGGTAGTCCTGATGTTTTGTTCTTTTTTAATATATCAAATATATTTCATTGCTTACATTATAGTAGCAGATTGAAAACATCTGCTCACTTGCCACTAGTCCACCAGCAGTAGAAATATCTCAGCTCATTTTCCATAGGTTTGCATGTACCAGGGCTATAATCCAGCTGCTGAGGCTGCATCTGGGGCCAGATTAATACTCAAGAGCCCTGAAAATGGAAATAGTGTTTTCTTGCCAAAGATTAGAACAATGATAGACTCCATTTGCTTGTTCTCTTTCCTGTCTGCTCTTATTCACCACCCTTCCCAAAATATTAACTTGCTTCCTCCCGCCCCTCTCTCCCATCCTCTCTCCACAGCACCATCACCTGTCATGACAATTAAGAAAGAGCGAACATCCAGAAATAGCATCTCTTTATCCTGGCAAGAACCTGAACATCCCAATGGGATCATATTGGACTACGAGGTCAAATATTATGAAAAGGTGGGGAAGCAATGTTACAGGATTGGATTGTGTAGGGAAAAGATGCTCCTTTCTCCAGAACTATGTTCTTGCAAGGAAACCTCTGTCACTGCTTGTGAGTGGTAGAACTCTGTTTACAATTTTGATCATGGAATCCCTTTGATTAGTGGAGAGAGGGAGGTTTGGATATAATCTTGCCAAATATCCCAGAGCATTCCTTAGTTCCTTGTCTTAAAGCATCATTTCCTGACTTTCACATTTAATGAATTTCATTCAATACAAGCAGGGACATTGTACTGATAACAAAAAACATTATATAACTGGACTGGTGATGAAAGCTTCCTGTGCTCTAGAAAATATATAAATGCATTTATAAAAGTAGGTACATGGTTATTTGTATATAGAATTTAGGCAGGAATATTTCATCATTCTAAATAACACTGATTTGTCCCTGGTTATAAATTATGATAAATTTTGTAAGCAAAATATATTCAAATGTTACCATCAGAGCTTGTTGATTTTTAGCTACCTAATGTGAACACAAATATTTGTATATTTGGCACAGATTAAAAAGTATTTTAAATTCAATAAAAATAAATTGTGCATTTACATAGTAGTGTATATTTACAGGACATGTTTTGTATACATTATTTGAATCTGAGCATTACGATAATCTTGCAGCAATAGGTAAATAGGTTCTTTTACAAATGAGAAAGCTAAGACTCAGAGGCACTTGATTAATTTCCCACAGACTCATTTCTAATAAATATTAGGTCTCTGTTTTGATTCTCGGCAGCCATGATTCCTCATATCGGATGTTTTCTCTGACATTAAGTATCTTGTTGAACACGAGAACAGATCATTACTGTTATGACGATTACTAGTAGGATCAATTGTACACAAAGGCATAATGTGTGAATGCATTCTGTTATATGATGTTATTATATCCTTTACTGAGGTTAATGCATTTCACAAAATGTTTCCTTTTCTTTCATTTCCCCTCCTCTACATACAAGATATGATTTTTCATTAAAATAAAATGAGGCCTAATCAATTGCATTGTGCCAAAATCAAAATATAAGTAAATTTTCTTCTTGTATTGAGTCATCCACTGTGCAAAGTCACATATTCATCACATATTATCATCTTCTGTTTGTACATGTGGTAAACTGAAAACTTTATCAATATAAGCAATCATATTTTGTACATAATACAACAAAATTTAAAGTAAGTGAATGATGTGCCTTGATTTAAACTTGATGACAGTGTAATAATTTTAGGTCTTTGAGGCTTATCCCAAAATGCAACTTATCTGTAGTCATATCTTTTACAAAATTAAAAAAAATCTGTTTATTTCAACTCCAACTGTAAGATGTAAAACACATTGTTATTTTTAAACAATAGTTAGCAAATGCAAGAAAAAAATGAATGAACCTATTGACTATACCCTAGGCATTTTAAAATTTGATAAATTTGCCTATGTAATACTTTAATATATTTGTTTGTAAATACTTTTCCTACACATGCATGAATTTAAAAATTATTCCCAAATATGTGTATGAGCATTGAAATATTTGAATTTTAGTAGAATTTATGTCCCCAAGATCTAGCTTTTCTGACTTTTTAGTTCAGTGATGGTGATGAACAGAGCTGGCTCTGGGTACATGCTCAATAATTTTTTCTAATGAATAGAATATTCATTTATGTAACATATATATTTGATTTTTTAATTATTTGATAGTAAATCAAATATTGTCTAATATATAAACAATATATTTAACTAAAATAGTATCTGTATTTTTATTAATATAAATATTAGGAAATATTTATAATATTATAAAATATAATATTAGGAAAAACATCATTCTGTGTCAATTCAATTTTTACAAATAGGACTTGACTCAAAGAGACTTTACTGTGAATGCAAAGTGTGAATCTCCTAATTTACATCCTGAATCTCCTGAGGACTATGGAAGATTGTTATCACTACTAAGCCATTGTGACTTAGAATAAGTACAATACAAATATACAGAGAAAATTAAGACCACATATAGCACCTTGACTTTTTATGATAAGTACTTTAACAAGAATATTTTCTACTTGAGGTTCTGTAGGATATTCCTATTATGTTTATTTTAAGGAGGTTTCCTTATAAGTTTATTCTTAGAACTAGATTGATGTTTTCTCTCACCTTTGACTTTGAGAGAATGTATTTTCATTCACAGATACACTAATTAATAAGAATGAAACCTAACTCTGTTTTAGGTTCAGAACATAAATAATTATATTCAAGTTAGGAAATACTGTAAATTTTTTCATCTTTAAAATGATACCTCTATTGCAACCAGGGAGTGAAACAATTGACATGAATTTCACCCATATTATGCTCTATTTAAAAGTTAGAAACAATGGACTTTGGTTCACTTTTCTTATTAAATAGTAGTGCGACAGTTTGATATTAACATAATTTTTTTTCTTACCTCAAAGCAGGAACAAGAGACAAGTTATACCATTTTGAGGGCAAGAGGCACAAATGTTACCATCAGTAGCCTCAAGCCTGACACTACGTATGTTTTCCAAATCCGAGCCCGAACAGCAGCTGGATATGGGACCAACAGCCGCAAGTTTGAGTTTGAAACTAGCCCAGACTGTAAGTCTTATTTCATTTCCGTGTATAGGGAAGGATTACTGCAAAAAGTGACAAAGAACTTATTCTTAGTTTCTCTAAGTTGTAACCAAAAGTGATACATTGAAAATAGATTACTTGAAACATTTAGCAATTTATGTGGAAGTATTGTACTGTATAGGTGAATTTGTGTGGGTGTCCATCTGTGTTTCATTCACTTTTCCAAATCAAACCTATTTTACAGTATGGAATGCTTCTGGTTTTGTATTAGTCATAAATTGCATTTAGAAAACATTAATTAATATGGTGACATACTTCTGATGCTTGTCAATCCAAATATTCTAGGATCATTGTATGATTCAATGAACTACCAAAAAAGAAACTTACTGATCCATGAGGATCTTAAATTTTATCATTACTCTAAACATAGTTAACTATGTATCTTAAATTTTATCATTACTCTAAACATAGTTAACTATGTATCAGTTTTCTTAAAAGTCTTTTATCACTTCTTTCACAGTCACAGGCCATTTGAACAACCAGTGCATTTGACCAAATATATTGCTAAAAATTTGTACAATGTGGAAAAATATTTTCAAAATAATTTTCCTTCAAATATACTTGTTTGTATTTGTATTAAAAAGTATTCTGCTAAAACTTAATTTCAAAAAGTTAAAATAATTCCTATGGTATTAACATAAAATGAACAAGAATAAAAGTTTTTATTTAACTCAATTAATGAGGTGACTACTCAAGGTTAATAGTGGATGAAAGGAAATTTGAAAACAGATTTACAAAAATATATTAAAAAGTTCATGGACATGAAATTAAACTGTCTATTTTGCTTCAAAAATTTTTGAAATCATGAATACTTATCTCATAATGTGTTTTATATGAACTTTTAAAATATCCTTCACACATACAAATACATAATTGTATGTTGTATGTGTCTGTGTATGTATTCAGGCACTCATGAACATTCAGAAATACGTATTTGCTAATAGATCTAAAATTAGTTAATGCTTTATGGAGAGAATTGGGATAACCTATTCTAATGAAAATAAATCAATTATATATATATAGTGAAGCTCCCATTTTAATTGTAATGAGAAAAATCATATACATCACTATTAATTTTCTGCAACTTAAATTCCCAGCTATAGCGTATCTTAGGAAGACCATCAGCAATGTATAACCTTTAGAGTCAGATGACCTTGAAGGGTCTGACAATGCCTGGTACACTGTTGAAATGAAAATCTGTAATCTCTCTGGACCATGTCCAGTTTTCCCTGGCTTCTATATTTTCTATTTTCTAAGTACTTTGGACTTGAAATCACGTTGTTATCAGTATGGTAGCATTCAATGGCCAGAATTTATAGCTAATTGAATCATTCAGGACTGACCAAAAATTTAAAAAATTGTTTGTTAATGTATGATGGAGTCAATATTAACGGCACACGTTTTGTGGGCTGCTTACAATAACAGGCTGTACCTTCTGCAAGATATAAAGATTCTAGAAGTCATCACTTTACGAATGAACCACAACTCTTCAACTCCAAGGACAGTCGCTATCCTCAAATACATAAATTTATTCACATAGCATAGAAGTCCAAATCCAGGCATTCTGTCTAAGAAGGATGAGCTTGTAGCCACTCTATTTTAGAGACAAAAGCCAGCAGTATGTGTGGGATGGAATAAAATGGGAAATGATGAGCAATAGTTGTAGCGACTTGCTTGTAGCAAAGTAAATTAAAATTGAATTTCTAAGACATGTAGCATATACCAATTTTAGTATTATACCATGTTAGATTATTAGACAAAAATAGCAAACATCAATATTATTCATTTAAATATCTTCTAATTGCAGTAATATTATCAATGCTTGGTTATTTGCCTCAGATGAGTCTCTGGGAGTCATATATATTTAGACAAGTGATAATTTACTCCTACCTTTGACAGAAAAAGAAACAGAAAGTTAGCTTTTCTCCTTCCAAGTTTTAACAGATTTTTCTTTTAGAGATTGACTAATGAAAATGGCCAGAGATTTTAAAGCTTACTGGTTATTATTAAAAATGATTACAGTCTACAAAACGAAAACCATGAGTTAGAGTAAACGTATGCTTAAGAGCACTTTTCAAATGCCACGATAAGCTATTTTACACACTGTCCACAGATCTATAGCCAATGGACAAGGGTGTCTCTGGGAAGCAGTGCAAAGATGGAATTTAAGAGCAAGTGCTTTAGGGGAGAAATAGCTGTGACCAGCAGGAGGACAGCGCAGGGACACACAAGCAAAGCCTCAGGCTGATGTGTAGGCCTAGCAGCTGTGAAGAAGAAAGGGGCGAGAACGAAGAGACTCAGCCTGCAGTGCGGTCTCAGCCACAGCAGGGGGGAGTCCCAGAGTGAAGACACCCAGGCAAGGATTCTGACATTGGACAGGAAAGGGAGGGAGGCCCATGTCCCGTTGACCATCAAGGAGAGCAAGGTCTGTGCTGGAAGGCACTGGCTGCTCACGGTGTTCCTGGCAGCAGGGACCTCTGAGCAGAGCCTCCCTTGACTGCCACAGGGAGTATACCATAGCTTGATGCTGGCACAGAATAAAGTGCCACACGCTGAGCCCTTGGGCCAAACATTTAGAAGACTTCTAAGAATCTGTCCGCCATGATTCTTTTCTTATATTGTTGGACTATTTTTTAAAACCATGTACTTTAGAGAAAATGCGGTTAGGTAGAAGAAGCATGCTGTTTCCTGGACAGGTGATCGAGTTTGAATGACTGAACTCTGCTCATCGGAGTCACACTTTTCTCATATTTTCAATCAACATTTACTACAATCGCAGCAAATAGGAATGTATGGGCCGGGCTGTTCCAGGGACCATGCACATTTTAGGAAGTCTAGAGATTCGGATATCTGTGGCGTTTGTAGCAGATGAGGCTGAGGATTTTTTTATTTATTTTTTATTTTTATTTTTTGACAGGCAGAGTGGACAGTGAGAGAGAGAGACAGAGAGAAAGGTCTTCCTTTGCCGTTGGTTCACCCTCCAATGGCCGCTGCGGCCGGTGCCCTGCGCTGATCCGATGGCAGGAGCCAGGCGCTTCTTCTGGTCTCCCATGGGGTGCGGGGCCCAAGGACTTGGGCCATCCTCCCCTGCCCAGCAGAGAGCTGGCCTGGAAGAGGGGCAACCGGGACAGAATCCGGCGCCCCGACCGGGACTAGAACCCGTGTGCCGGCGCCGCTAGGCGGAGGATTAGCCTAGTGAGCCGCGGCGCCGGCCAAGGCTGAGGATTTAGACAGCAAACAGTTCCTAAGTGGCCTTACATGCTCTGCTATAGGTCTTGCATTTCTTCCTTAAAGTGATATAGGGTCAGGAAATGATTTTACGCATAGAATCGACAGGGTCAAATTCATGGTGTATACGCTGTGCTCAGGTGGCAACTACACAGATAAGAAAGACATGAAAATAGAGACCAACATGGACTTTGTAATCGCTATCTGTGAGGGAAATGAAGACAGACACTAGGATATTTAGGAGGATTTTGTGACTGATGGATGTAGAATAATCAAGAGATGGAGAGGACAGGTATAGTTTTGTGGTCCAGATCCTTGCTGTGCAGAATGCTGTGCCCTTGGGTGAGAGGTGCAGTGGATAAGATCCCCCTGGGGACCTCACACATTGTATAGTGGTGTCTCTGGGTTCAAGTCCTGGCTCTGCTGCTGATTCCAGCTTCCTATTAACGTACATCTTGGGAGGCAGCTGGTAGTGGCTCTAGCAGTTGGTTCCTGCATCCTGCTATCCATACTGCATATTGGGCTCTTGGCTTCAAGCCAGGCCCAGCCTCAGCTGTTGTGGGAATATGGGGAAAGAACCAGTGGATAGAAAAATCACTGTCTGTTCTTCTTAGTCTCTTTCTGCTGTTTACATGAATTGGGAATAAATATGTAAACACTTTAAAAGTGCCACGGGGCAAAATCGGCATCATCAGCCCCACTTAGAGCAGGCTCAGCTTGCTACCTCCTATCCCAGCAGGCCCAGGGCTGACCAAATCAAAAATGGCTTTTCAACACGATCCATAAACAGTTTGTGTGAACATTTAATTTTGAGAAGCATTGGTCTAGGTCAAGGTCAGTAAACTTTCTATAATATGCCAGAAAATGAACGTTTTAGGCTTTCTGTACATATATAAACTGTTAATACTATGTGATTTACTAATTTTAGCATAAAATTTGTCATAGACAGAAATGAATGATTATGACCATGTTAAAAAAAACCCTTTAATTATAGACACTAAAATTTGTGTCTGAATTTCAAAGAATTTCCCCATGTCACAAAATCTTATGCTTTGTACTTTTAGCAATCATTTAAAAATGTAAAACAGGGCCATGCATTTGGCTTAATGGTTAAGCTGCTGGCTATAACATGTTAATTCCATATTAGAGTGCCTAAATTTGATTCTTGGCTCTGGGTACTAATTATTGCTTTCTGTCATTGCTGACTTTGGAAGACAGTGATGACAGCTCAAATGGTTGGGTTCCTGCCACCCATGTGGGAGACCTGAACTGGGTTCCAGGCTCCCGGGTTTGGCCCATCCATTATGGGCATTTGTAATGGGAACTTGTGGTTGGGAATCTCTTTGTCTCTCTCTCCTCACTCCTCAGGTTCTCAAATATAAAAACAAAAATAAAAAAGCAAAAAAAAGCAAAATCATTCTAAGCTCAAGAACTCTACAAATCCTGGGGACAGACCACATGTGGCTCCTGGAAGCCATTTTTTTGCCGACCCCTTGCCTAGGTGAATGAATGAGTGATGGGGCCTTTTACAAAGGTACAGCTTGTTTGAGTTATCCTTTGAGGTCTGTAAAACAGGGATTACACTTCTTTTTAAACAAATGTAGAAAAGGGAGGCAAAATAAGCTGAATTAGAAAGCTTAATAATTTCACACTGCGGAATCTTTACCTGTTCTTTATGATGCTCTGATAATTTCTTATTTATCCAACAAGTGTCAGTCAGTGAAGACAAAGACCAGTCTGGTATATTTCACAGACTAGGCATTCAAGTTGTGTTTGATTGATACCATGGAAACAGAGTATTTAACCTTGTTAATAAGGTAACAATTTCCAGCAAAATTATGGTAAATGTCTATTTTTATAGTAAGTGAAGAATGCTTTCGACAGTTTCAGACATTAAACATTTCAGGTGAAAGCAACATCCAGGCGCCTCATCCTCAGCTTCTCATGTATAGATGTTATTTATGTTGCTATTATTATTATTTTTATTAGATGTTATTATTATGGCACGGTGAAGCTGGTTCTTCCCTTATTTTTGGCTCTTGCACCCACAGCTTTTTCCATCTCTGGTGAAAACAGCCAGGTGGTGATGATCGCCATCTCAACGGCGGTAGCAATTATTCTCCTCACTGTCGTCATCTATGTTCTGATTGGGAGGTGAGTTCACAGTCGGTTGTCATCAGTGTTCTTGCTGCTGCCCATGGTTATGGTTGAAAGTTGAAGAGTGCCCGCCAACGTGGTTTAAACTAGTCAGAAAATCTCCATGTGTATCCTCACTCCTTTTCTCCTTTTTTTTTTTTTCTCTCCTGTCTTGGTTTTGATTTTTTTTTTTTCACTAAATTCCTATCCTCCCTCTCTAACACGCATCAGTTCTCTTCTCTCCTGTGACACCACTCCCAGTCTGTACTTTGTTTTTTCCATTTATCCCCCCGCTCTTCAAATAACCCTCGATTTCCCTTACACTTTCCCGCAGAACGCGGTAACACTGCAGAGCACTAATCACCAGCAGTGGAGACTTTCCCCTTCATTCATTCTAACAGTAGTTGTTAAAAATACTATAAACACATTCTAAGGCCATTATAAAAACCGAACTGGACGGGTGTGCACAGCGGGGTGGCAACGCCGCATATCTCCTCATTAGGCAGCTCTCAGGGTCCTTAGAAAAAGGCGCTTTCCATGGAGGATTGAGAGTATCTAAAGTCATTGAACCTTCACTAAAGCATTTAATGTGTTGAGGAAAATGCTCTGTTTTTCGTGCTTTGCCCATTCTGAGTATAGATAATTGTCTGAAGTGTTTTCTCCTTCTGTGTTCTTTCCCGGGCTTCCCTCTAGGTTCTGTGGCTACAACAAGTCAAAGCACGGTGTAGAGGAGAAGAGGCTGCACTTTGGGAATGGGCATTGTGAGTTTCTCAGCTTGCTTCCTTGTTATGTTTTGCCATTTTTCTTTTAGCGATTGTTGATTTATAACTGGAAAGCCTCCCTCGACAAAGAGTACTAAAGTAGTTTTATCAAAAAAATTGAGCAAATCAAGTTTGTTTTAGAAGAAGAGAATTCATGGCTCTGCAGTAATTGTTGCATGGCTACATTTCAGTATACCTAAGCTCAAGTGGTTTATATTCAAGTAATGTGCATGATGGGTAGAAGGAACTGCGTAGCTGAAATGCAAAGCGTATCTGCAATTTCCTTATTACTGGTCCCTTTCTCAAATCTAAATAGGAGACTTTTCTCTTTCCTAACTGCCAAGTAAATATAAACAACCGATGTTTATGCGAAATGCCTTATTCCATTTTGTCAACCAACCAGGAAAGAGCTTTTAGAATAAACTGTTTATTTTGGCGTTACATGATATCCGACTAGTAGGAGAGCCAGCCCTTTTCCTCCACATTTTAATACCAACCAATTTAGCCTCTTTTAGTATTTTCTAAAGGAAATGCTCTTATAGGAAACAAAGTGCTCATATCCAACAAAACAACATTTTTTTTTCCCTACTGCGGAAACAAATCGTTCCAGGTGTTTCACTTTTCTAAACTATAGCTCCATTTATTGTGGCAATTACTAATCAGTGGCCTTAAAAGGAATAACATGTTCTCCAGGAAATTGGGACAAAAGCTTATACTCATGCTCCCATACAATCTCAATGTAACTAATGTAGTCTTGTGGGCGTTATGTTCTTTGGCATTCACTATTTCCTTCTAAAATTGCTTCCAAATCAAAACTCAATCAGTTGGTACTAAGTTACAGAAGACAGAGAAATCGCGGTGCTGTATTGCACATTAGGTTGACTTTCGATAGTAATTGAGTACCACATATTTTTAAATAGCTACAATAAGTATTTTCAATGTTTGCAACACCAAGAAATAATACATGTTTGAGAAAATAAATATGCTTTCCCTGATTTGAGCATTACATAATGTATTGAAACAGTACATGATACCCCATAAATATGTACAATTTTGAAGTGTCAATTATTAAAAATATATATAAAATCAATTTGATACTTTGTTTCAACCTTTATATTGAATGTAAAAATGATAGCTTTAGTTTTAATTCAAATGAAAAACTGTATATCCAGGGGCTGTGGCATAGTGGGCAATACCAGAATCCCAATGGGTGCTGTTAGTGCTGTTAAACCACAAATCCAGCTCCTTGTTAATGTCCTTGGTAAAGCAGAGGAATGTGGCCCATGCTATTCATATGGGAGACCTGGAAGAAGCTCCTGGCTCCTGGCTCCTGGTCCTGGCTCCTGGCTTTGGCCTGGCCCAATCTCAGCTGTTGATGCCATCTGGGGAGTGAACCAGTAGATGGAAGACCTCTCTCTCTGTAAATGACTTTAAAACAAATAAATGAATCTTTAAGAAAATCAAAATATGATTACCCATTGCTAAGATATAGGAAGCATAAAGTAGTATAAAAAGTCTTCAAAAATGTGTACTAATAAAACAATAAAGCAGTGCAACAGTTTGCAGAAGTATTGTTTGATTTGTTCATCTCATTGAAGAGTCATTCTGGAACAATTAACAAAACAGACAAAATCCTGCCTTCCTAATATCAACCCAATACGGTCAAGACAGATTAGTTGGGTTACCAACTCAGAAGTCTTAAAAGAGTGCAGGAAAAATCACAGGATACATTTTTCACAATCTCCATGGATACGTTAGAGCAATTACATTCTTGTGGATTACATTGTTCTTCATTTGAGCTGGACAACTGATATAAACATTGTTTTCAGAGCAAGAGTGTACTGATTTGGTTCTTTTTATGGAAATTCTAAGTTGTTTGAATTTGGAGCTTGGATAAATTTTTGTGTGCCAGTTTTCTGTATCATTCCAGCCTGTTTCTTTATTTCCTTTTTTGTTTGGTAGAGATTGTTGAAACCTTAATTTTTTTCATATGCACAATATCCTTATGACAAACAAACAAAAAGACATGCATTTTATCCTTACTGCAAAGCATAAAGTAACTTACATGCATCTCATAAACTTTCTGCCTCTTAATACTACAGCTGGTTTATTTCAGACCATTTATTTGGTATTACTTTAAAAAGCTCTAGCTATGAACTATTCCCTCCAGCCTTGTTACAAATCCCATAATATTGCTTCAAAAGGAAAGAAATGTGTTTTACCTCCTAAGATCCAGTCCCCTTGCCCTCTCTGGCTGGCCCGTTTTACTTTTCTGCTATCCTTAGGGCAACTCATGCTGGTAAAATGGAAATGTAAATTATTGTGTTTGCGCAGAATGAGCTGTAAAGTAGTGCAGCTTAACACGTGTGCATGTGTTTATTATCTGGTTTTCATGACAGCACCCACTTACTCTGTATACTGCCCTTAATTATGGGCGTGAAGGGATTATGTGCCTTACAGCCTGCATCACCTGATTCCTGGAACCTCTGGGGTCAGCAGTTAAAAATTAGCAGCCAAAGCTCCCACAGAGAACGTACCATTTTACTTGAGCTATTTGTGGATTGATTTGTAATTTGTCCCCAAATGTCACATGGACGGAAAAGCATTGCCCTCCACTAGTCATACCAATGAATATGATTGACTTTATTTAGAAATGATTATTGAGTTTTCAAGTTATTTTAGCAATACTTAAATTCTTGAGAACTCATTAGTAGTGAAGAACAAACACTAAAGCACACTTTCAAGTCTTTTTAAAAAGCCAGCCCTTATTTAAAATATTGGAGACATTGTCCGTGACAACTCATTTTATCATCTGTCAATTCTCATACCAGCAAATCACCTCTAAATGGATTTCCTTCAGTTCATCAAGATAAAACATTTGTAACTGCTTACCAAAAATACCAAGTTTTGCTGTATGTTTAAAGTGTCACCTTTCTTCTTTGAAAATGAATGCTAGATTTCTATAACTTACTGTTACAAAGCAGAGGCAAATCAAAACTGGAAGATCACATTTCAGAGCCTCAATCTGATGAAATCTTCTTTAAAATATAATCACATTGATTAAACAAAAAAGATTCCAACAAGCTTTATTCCCTAACTTACTTTAGGAACTCTGATTATTTTTACAATATTCTTTATTCTAAAACAAAGGAAAGTGTGATAGTTTTCCTTGATCTTTTTTTTTTGTTTGTTTGTTTTAAGGGTAAAGTGTCTTAGTAGTGATAATATTAGAAGGCATTTAGTGTGATATGTAATGATAAAGTATAATAGACCACTACACTAAAGAGTCACTTTAACATCTGTTTTTATAGCAAGGATAAATATACAGTAGTATAGAAACAGAAAGCATGCAACTGCGCTATGAGAGCAAAGAAATGCACATTTCTGAACCTAATTTTCCAACCAGGAAACCTCAATGATATAATAATAGTAAATAAATATTCTTAACAATGAAATTATTAATTAAGTTAATAATCCCTATTACTTATTGAGCACTATCTATAGAACAAGCACTTATGCCAGGCACTTGCATAATAAGTTTTCAAGAGTTTTTTTTTTTTTTTCTCTCTGAGACCTATTTGGTCCTCTTTATTAAGCTATCCAAGAAAGAATAATTCCAAAATTAGAGTTCTCACTTCAAAAGCTACTCCACTCCAAGGATGTGCATATCAAAGGCAGAGTCCAAATTTTCCCATTTGTATGGAGGCTGGCTTCCTAGATAGTCTTTGAAAATGCTCCACACCTTGTCTCAGGCTGGAGAGTGGCAGCTCCCAGCAAAGTAAGCAACAAGAAGAAAAAAGAGAGTGTTACCTGTCTTCCACGTTGTTTTCTCTTAACCCCATTCCTATTGTTGTGGGCAAGGTTGGAGTCTAAATTCCTACTCCAGACTCTTGACTCTTAGAGAAGCATTCTAAGTACAAACACAAAAATGGGGGATGGGAGAGAAGGGAGAGTATTTCAGTACCCTGTTTCCTCTGAGTTTGCAGAAAGAGAGAGAGGGCCCCGTCTCCATCACTGGGCTTCTTATGAGCTTGGAAAAGGGAGTGGTTACATTATACCACCCCCAGGTCAGGGGAGGTACATCCTGGGAAAAGAGTCACTTGACTGGGTGAACAGGATTGCATGGGGTGTGGGAGGTGTGACTTCTAGTTCATGACCCTAATCTAGCTATCTGCCTTATCCCGTATCACTGATGCTAGATCAAACTCATCTGATGCACTAGCCAAAGACAATAAAGTTTCTACCTCCTATCTCCCCTAACTACTGTTTGTTTTATAATCCATTTATTCTTATTCTCATTTTTGGGGCTTTTAAATGGAATCTTTATGAAAGCTTCACACAAACACAAATAAAGATGCGGTATAGTTATGATATTTTGCATTTGTCTTACAGTCCAACAAACTGATGATTTGTTACAAAAACTCTGAAATCTATCTTGGAAACCTTGGCCTAAACTTAAATTGAAGGCTTTCCAGAAAAACTTCACCTATAGTCTCTACATCTATTTAAAGTAACTTACAAAACAAACTCAAATAATTCTTTGATCAACAGAGTCCAGTTGCTTCCATTACAAATGTATACTGAAAATGATAATTTTTTTGTTTGCTAGAGCTAAACAAATTAATAGTTCAATAGTTTGGTTTGGTGAATGAAAGCGTATATCATGATTATCTCCTATTAAAAATGTTAGCAATGTTACCATAAATAAAGGCAAAAGCAGTAATTTAGTAGATATACTATGGAGTTAAATTGCAATCTTTTTAAAATCAGAACATGTTTATGTACTCTAACAGGCATTAGATTCCCTGTTTGTAAATTTAGTTTCCTCACAAAGAAAGTTTATTGACATCAAAATTGTCTCTAATGTGTTATTGTTCCAACTGTTAGCGAGCTCATGAATACTGCGTCAAATCCAAAATGATTCATCTGCACCATTTGTCTTTAATACTTTGCTTACAGAATATTATAAATTTTTACCTTAAAATAATTTGCAAACAAATTATGAAGGATATTATATTTATTATATTGCATATGTGATATATTTTTTGTGGAAATTAACTCCTTAGCACTATTATTGAACCCATAGAAAGCTGTTATATTGCTTTTAACTATTATTTCAGTTGATGGATACTATATTGATGCTATATGCATAACACATAAATGTTAAAATATATACAGCTTAAAGAAGACCTACCTGATATATAATTGTAGAGGGTGATTTTGATTGTGAATGTTAATAATAGCAGTATAATGTAAAACAGAAGAGGTGATATTTTATTTATAATTATAGCAACTCTCCCACTTCCTGTAAGTATTTCATATATTTAATTTATTGTAACATAATAGATGTTTGGTTACCACAGTATTGCTAGATGCATAACATCTCAAAAGTGTCATGAGTATTCCCTCATTAGAGCTGTAGAAAGTAATTGCTAGGCCTACTCATATCTGAACTACCTTCCTTTTGAAGATCTCCTTCCTTAAACGTCCAATTTTATTCTATTCTTTTTGAAAAAAAAAAAGAAAAAAACACTCCATATTGTTTTCATGCTAGGGTTAAAAATTTCAACCCTTTGTCAATATCTGCCTTTTCTCTGATACTACAAAATAAACAAAAAAAAATTGGTGTTTCTCAGGATAGGAAGTTTTTAACAAATAATGTTATAAAATTTGCTCAACTCAGGTTTTACAAATCTAGCTACAATGTTGCCTTTCTTCCTTCCTTAAACAGTAAAGCTGCCGGGTCTCAGAACTTACGTGGATCCACATACTTATGAAGACCCAACCCAAGCAGTACATGAGTTTGCCAAGGAATTGGATGCCACCAACATATCCATTGACAAAGTTGTTGGAGCAGGTAACCACCATAGTCATAACCCCATGGCTGACATTTTCTATTAATCACAAGTTTGTGCCGATGTGTAAACGGAATGTTACCTGAGATCGCTCAGTTTCTGAGCCCTGCGTGTATTCCTCAGGGAAGGGGCATTTTCTGATTTTATGATCAAAGGCAGGCAATAAATAAATGGGGTCTTTAATGGAATGCAGTGGTTTCAAAGGTGCCAGACTTATAGACTCACAGACTATGACAGTCTTTTATTTATTGAATTTCAGAGGCGGCAGCAGCAACAGCTCAATCTTCCCATGGCTACGCTGATCATGTGTCACAAAGCCTATTTGGCTAAATAGCTATAACAGGATAAAAGTGTTTCTTGCCTTAAAAAAATATGGTAATTGAAAGGTTAGATCTCCACGTCTACAATCCATTTAGGTTCAAAAAAGCTAATAACACTAAATAATTAAATCATGGAATATTTTACATAAATCTCATCACAACAATTTTGAGTGGTTATTTTACCTAGCATGAAGTACTCCATTTTCATCCTTTCTTGACTTTAATATAGTGTTAATTTATTTGTTAAAAGTTTTATATAGATATCTCCTTGTATTAACTCCACCATAAATTCATCAACAAACACCTATGTAGTAACTATGAACAGCAGTTGCTATTTCCCCAATTAGAGTTCAGATATTTGAAAGCTATTAGTATTTTACACACTTATATAAAAGCACAAAGCATCTATAATATGTGCAGATACATGGCAATAGAGCTATTATTCAAAAGTAAAATGAACCATACCCTACACCAAACAGTTTTGTACCATCAGCTCATCTCAGTGTTTCTTGGAAAACAAATACAGAGTAACAATAGTGATGAAGGAATTAGAATGAAAGATTGAAAAATTGACACTGATTTATGCATAACATGTTATGCATAATTATGTTATGCATAACATATCAACTCGCATTTTGCACAAGTACTGTATTATATTTACAACTGATACTTCTTAACACAAATGTCCATATAGTGGGCTCTTGTTCTGTACACCCAAGTTGGATTAAAAACTCAAATATTAGTTATTGTTAGAGCAGGTCAATCTGAATAATTAATATTGTCTAAACAAATAGCTTACTAAAGATTTTTGTTCTTTCTTAATGTCCTAGTCTTCCAAACACTCACATGTCCAGTAAATATTGAAATGTGAAACTGAGGGTGGATATTTGGTGCAGTGGTTAACACGCTACTTGGGATGCCTGTATCCCATATCAGAGTGCCCGAGTTAAGAGACTCTGTTCCTGATTCCAGCTTTCTGGTAATGCACAGGATGGGAGGTAGCAGGTAATCAGCTGAGTCCTTGCCACTCCTGTGGGCGACTTAGATTGAGTTCTTGGCTCCTGGTTTTAGCCTGGTTCAGCCTCGATAGTTGTGGTAATCTGGGGAGTGAACTAGCAGATATCTGTTTCTCGCTGACTTACTTTTTTTCTTTTATGATTTATTTATTTACTTTAAATGCAGAGTTACAAGATGGGCCGGGGGAGAGAGAGAGAGAATCTATCTTCCATTTGCTGGTTCACTCCCCAAATGGCCAAAATGGCTGGAACTGGGTCAATCTGAAGCCAGGAGCCAGAAACTTCTTCTGGGTCTCCCACGTGAGTGCAGGGGCTCAAGTACTTGAGCTATCTTCCGCTGCTTTCCTGGGCACATTAGCAGAGAGCTGGATCAGAAGTGGAGCAGCCTGGACTAAACTGGTGCCCGTATGGGATGTTGGCCCCCACACAGTGGCTTTACCTGTGACACCACAGCACTGGCCCCCATCTCTGCCTTTCAAATAAGTAAAATAAACCATTAATAATTTTTAAATGTAGAAAACTGGTGTTCATAAAAGGAAACTAGAGTAGACACTCTTTTTCAAAGTCTGAGATTTTGTTGTAGATATTCATTGTCAATCTGTAAAAATCCAGAACCTAAACCACATAGATAATGATGACTGCGTCTTTTTAGTCTGCTTTAACAGCTCTATGACATGAAAGGATTTCGTCTGGTTGGTTGTACTATTTCCCCCTCAAGAGTCTACTGTTCTCCAGTATGACAGCAGAGCAGCAAATGTAGCATAAAGACTTAGTGCACTGAACTGGAAAAACTGAGAAGAGAAATGCTAAACCAATAATCAGAGTGCCAGACGACAATATTATGATTTGCAAATTTGGCACCTTCCGCATTGGCAAAAATAAAAAGGGATATACTATTGACAAAGTTAGAAATTCAGAATATTGGTATGAGACAAAGTGCACCAATTAAAAATGAAATCTGATAAATGAATTAAGAAGAAGTCTACATACCTTAAATCGCTCCATAGGCTTTAATGCTTATTAAAGATCATAATAAGCTTTTCCTTTCTTGCTTCAAATATGTGTGTAAGTAATTAGACATATGTCCCATATTAAGGGTTTTGTAGTAAATGTTCTCATTTGCTTTATTCATAGAAATAAAACTGTTGGTTTTAGTTGCAAATTCTTGGAGATATATAAAATTTAAAACTTGCAAAAATGGAGACTTCACACACTAATTTCTAAGGTACCTTCATTAATAATCAATTGATGCCAACCTTACTCAATACACTTACCTACTTCCCACATGATTTTAATTTCTTTAAATAATTTATTATTCATAAAAATTAATAATTATGGCAAAATTATTGGTATCTGTCCTTCATTGTTACAAAGGCTAAACTTTTCACCCAATGAGAAAACTTCCATACTCAATAAATTTACAGAAAGACTGTGTGTGTGTGTGTGTATACTTATGGTAATTCTCTAATATTCTGTCAGAAATTTTATATAAATGAATGTACCAGAAAATTTTATGTAGACATTGAGTCATCAGAAGAATTAAAGTGAAAAGCGAGCTATAAATTAACCTTCTCAAAGTACCAACTTTATAATTGTCACAATTCATAATTTTATTCTTCAATCATTCCTTTAAATATTAAATATTGGTAATTTCTGAAGAAATGCAATATTTATTAATGCTTTAAATTATGCTAGAGGGCCCAGCCTTGTGGTATAGTGGGTAAAGCCACAATCTACAACTCCATCAACCCATATGGGCGAAAGTTAGAGTCCCAGCTGCTCCACTTCCAATCCAGATCCCTGCTAATGACCTAGGAAAAGCAGAGGAGAGCCCAAGTGCTTTGGCACCCTGAACCTTTGGGAGACCTGGATGAAACTCCTGGCTCCTTGCTTCTGCTTGTCCCAGCCTTGGCTGTGGCGGCCATCTAGGGTGTGAACCATTCGATGGAGGATTCTCTATCTCTCCCTCTCTGTCTGAGACTCTTTCAAATAAATACATTAATAAATATTAAAACATAAAACAAATTATGCTAGATGTTCAAATGTTGTCTCACTGTATAAGCCCTTACAGATAGGCATTATTACCTACATTTCAGCAGATGAGAGAGCAAAAGCCAGGAATTTGAGTGGCCCTGGTCGCTTTTTGTATTTTATAATTTCAAAATCTGTCCTGGATACTGAAGATCACAATAGTTGCCTCCTTCATGGGATTTTTGTGAGGCTTAAAGGAGATAATTCATGTCGAGCTCTTCACTTACACACAAATATCACCCTATATGTATTCTCACTATGCTTTTCTTAAAAATATTGGAGGGAGAATGAGATGTGTGGCTAGTCAATGGGGCAGGGGTCATTCTACTTAAACACAATAGAACGTTTTTTCTATTATAAGTGAAGATAGTGTAAGGAATTGTATTTTGAGCGACTTTTACATTACACATCTTTTATCATAATACAGTACTCACTCTTATAAAGCAGAAACATTTCAAAGGTCAAAAAAAACTGTAGCAGTTATTAGATAAAAAATTGTAAGACCTGATAGCTGCACTTTTTCTTAGAAATGACAGGAAATACATTTTGTTTCTTATGGAAGTAAAGTTAATTTGATAAGACATTATGAAACTGCTCTATAGAAAGACCAGGAGTTGCATTTGTCAGCATTTGCTAACTTTCCAAACACAGTTCATTTAACTTATTATAAACATAATTGAATTTATATTTAATATTTTTATGTCACATGATATATCGGTGGCTAATTCTAGCGTGTATCTTATGAAACAACCATATTGCTAAATTTTGTGATTTTTTTAAGTCAGCATTACTGAAGCACTTTTACAAATTTGGAAAGTTGTCATATGTGTACATGTTTCAGGTGCCCCATTTCAAACAAAGAAAATGGCTCTAATTGGTTCACTTGAAAAGTGAACTCTTATCGTTGATCTCCTTAGAAAGTACTCCTACAAGATGGTCTTTTATAGACCATCTCGCCCTGTATGACATGAGGCCCATTATCACCATCATCATAACTCACCCATACATTAATACAGCATTTGGTATTTTAAAAGATATCATTATAGGCATTTGCCAATTTTATCTAAACAGGGACTCCTCAGAGGTAGATAGTTGACTTTTTCCTTCTTAAGGTGAGGTTGAACTCAAAAACAAATAGTGACTCGAGATAGATGGTATTTATGATGAATCTGGCATTATTCCAATTGTGTTACACACTTATTGCCTTTAACTGCACAATAGACTTATGAAGTAGACACGACTGGTGTCCCCAGTGCTATAGATAAGGGAACAAAGGCACACGTTTTAAGTCATGTACTTAAAATAACACAACTAGTAAAGGATGGGCAAAAAATAGATTCTAAACAATTTGGCTTCATGATTCATACTCTTATCCATAGCTTCGTGCTCTCTCTCCTGTAAACACATGGGTGACATCTCACTGCAGATTAAGTAGAAATGATATCTAAATTTAAAACAGGCTCCATGATATCACATTGGTAATGTACTAATGGCCAAACTTTCAGAAAATTCAAGTCCGTATGGTTAATGCCTTAGAGTTTTCCCAAACTTAATTTTTACACAAGACAAACTGGAGCTCTCAGGAAATGTTCAGATAAACTGGAGAAGGAAACATGCTCTCACTATTGCTTACATATTACAACAATGATTTATTTTGTGCGATAATTTCTCCTCGTACTCCTGCATTTATAACGTCATATTCTCCTTTGTTTTTTTCAAGATCAATGAACTTTCTCAAGTTTCATTTCCTAATACTCTTTAACAGTTTAAGGACAACTGTAGTTGCAGGTTGTTATCTTACCTACAGTTCCTTGAAATCAAAGAAAATAAGCCTACCTTGTTTATCATTGTATTTCTGTTTTTCCAGAATCCTCTATTGAACTCTAAGTGAGGTAGCCAGGGCACAGCCCAAGTTGTTACTTCGAAATCACTGACAGGACTGGGCTCTTGAGAGTGGGTCAAAGGTAGGGGAGCTTCTTGGAGAGAAGCAAGAATTTATAGTTAGGAAATTGATAAATTAATTTGATAAGCTGCTAATTTTGTGAGTCAAGCCACTTACGTGGACTCAAATAATGGAGAAGAAGCACCTCACTTCTTTCTGACTGAAAAGCAGGGCAAGGAGCTCATAGAACTCAGGGGCATGGATTTGGCACAGTATTTAAGATGCGAATCTGGGATTCTGCATCCCTGTCAGAGTGCTTGGGATGGATTCCTGGCTCTGCTCCTAATTTTAGATTAGAAGGTGATGACTCAACTACTTGTGCCCCTGCCACCAATGTGGAATACATGGATTTACTTCTGGGCTCATGGATTCTGCCTGGCCTAGCCTCAGCTGTTACAAACATTAATTGAACCAACAGGTGGAAGATCTTTCTCTGTATTTCTTTCTATCTCTATCTTTGAAATAAAATGAAAATAAATTTTAAAAATTAATGGAAAATAAAACTTACAATGAGAAGATTGAACCAAGAATGTTAATCCATTCCAAGGAAAGTAAAAAATGAACCATGTGGTTAATCCTAGAATATTTCAGGGGAATAAAAACCCTCATTTGATGTTAAAACTATTTTCAGTATGACACAAAATAGATGTAATAACCCATGCAATATTAGGATTTCATCTGTGCACAAGGGAAATTCGATTGGACAATCGTGGCAGCTTGAGGAGAGAGAAATGAATGTAACACATCTCTGCTCCAAGGATACCTAATGCACAGTGATGAATAAATCTTCTCAATAATATTGTATATTGAAGATAGCTCCCACACTAGTCAGAGGCAATTTTATATCAATTAGATTACAGTATTCAAAAATTAGCATCATACCATAGTCAGCAAATTTTGTGTTAATTGTACATTTCAGCCAACTGCTTTTTCCTCTGGAAGCATTGAATATAAGAAAATATTCTACAACAATGGATTATGTGACACATGCTGTTTTATTTGATTCTGTCATATTACGTTCTCCCCCCAGAAGCCAAGAGAATTTTATAGCCAGTGTGTCAATAATGCAACACACCAATACCCCAATAAAATAAATTGATAGCAGATGCTTTTATTCTAGTATTCAGAGAGTCAAAGAATATGGCCAAATTGGCTCTGTTAGTAAAAACAGAATTAGTTAAAAACATCTGATATTTAATCCAATACTCAGCCCATAAGATCTGTGCTGCTCTGCTGATTGCCCTGAAGTATTGGTAGCTACAAGAACACAGGGTGAAAACTATGCTATGTGAAGTTTTCAATTTAATTTTTTTCATATTGCATTATTCATAAGATGATATTTTAAAATATGTGAGACTGCTCACAAGGCCCATTTTCCACCGGATATGGATGTCTTAAGGTTCTCTAGTCCATCTTGTATTATCATCTTCCAAAATAATGTGTAGGCCTACAACCGTAAATCTCACAGGTCAAGTGCGTAAGTATTTACAATGAAATTACTGGAAGGAAAAAGGTGTTCTCTACTAGATGACTTCATTATGTAGCCTCACATTATACTGTTGCTCTGCCTTCTAACAGGTGAATTTGGAGAGGTATGCAGTGGTCGCTTAAAACTCCCTTCGAAAAAAGAGATTTCAGTGGCCATCAAGACCCTGAAAGTGGGCTACACAGAAAAGCAGAGGAGGGACTTCTTGGGGGAAGCAAGCATTATGGGACAATTTGACCATCCCAATATCATTCGACTGGAAGGAGTTGTTACTAAAAGTAAGTGAAGCCGTAAGATCTGCTTTGTGTGTATTGCCAAAACCCAATCTTTTCTGAAGTTTGATTTGTGAAATACTTATCACCAGTTCCAATAAAAAGGTCAGTTTAGGGTTAACTGGATTTTCTTTGTAGATATTTAACTAGTGTCTTGGTAGTTGGTACTATTCTAGATCTGAAAAATATTAGAAGTGCTATTCTAGATCTGAAAAGTATTCTAGATCGTTTTAAAAATATTAGAAGTTAGACACTGGACTACTTAAAGAAATGCTGATTAAAAAGAAAGTTCAGAGAATTGTGAAAAAACTTGCTGTTATGTAGAGTAGCAAGGAAAAACAATGACTCAATTTTGACAGGAACCCCCAGCTAGCTGACTTTTCTTTTATTGCTCACTAGCTTGATTTAAGCTCCCAGATCTTAAACCTGCCTGCCCTCCTGCCTCTAGGAAAATTATGGGCATCTTGGGAATGCTTCTCAGCTGTAAAGATTGGGATGGCAGTAGACCCAAAGCCTGTTCTTGGTTCTCTGTGGATTTCCAATAGCTCAGATCTGGGGTCCCAGGTGGATTTGCGACTGCTCTGGGAAGCTCTGGCTCACAGCCTGTGATAGAGATCTGCACTTCTTTCCATGATGATTTCTCCAGCCAGGCCCATGAGGGATCCCCTGAGGCAGATCTGTGATTTTTGGCTCCGATCCCGGTGAAAACCTCTTGAGAATGCTCTGGGACTCTTTTTTTTCCCTTGATTTTAGAGCAAAGGATGACGAATAAACAAAATTGACAGCAAACTGTAGAGTGAAAGGCAGCATATGGCAGGGAATTTGGCGTCCTTTAGGGCTAACTCATTGGCACCATATTTACATACTCAATGGTTAGCAATGGACATTATTCTTTATATTTTTTCACACTGAGATTACAGCACTAATACCTATTCTCAGTTTAGTGGGACTAAAAAGGCATTTAATTCCACACAAAGCATGGTATAACTGAAACATATTCCCTTTTCTGTTATCATATGTAAAGAATGAAACTGAGAAAGTAACAGGGTGGAATAATTTCACCATATACTCTAAGCCATCCTGAGTCTGGTAAAAAGGTTTTTGTTTTATTTTCTTTTTCTCCTTCTCTTCCTCCACCTCTTTCTTTCCTATTTCCATACTCATAAAATTAGGTTATACTAGTAGTAACATTGAAATGCTTTTTAAAGAAAATATTTTATGTTAAGAATCATATTTAATTTAAAAATACTGCTGGTGATAGTGACTGGAAAAATGTATGAATCTTTTGTTTCTTTAGGGTAAGACCATACTATATTATAGAAATAGAATCATTGTTTCACATTTCACTGGGACTTTATTATCTATTTGTTTATTAGAGAGGCATAGAGACAGAGAGCGAGCGCTCATGCAGTGGTTCTCTAAACAAATGCCTGCAGCTGTAAGTGCAGGTCTGAGCTGAAGCCGGGAGCAAGAAACTCAGTGCAGGCTGCATATATGTGTGTCAGAGACTCAAGTACTTAAGCCAGCACCTGTAACTTTCCAGGGTTTCCATTGGCAGGAAACTGGAACCAGAATCAGAAGCTGGGTATTAAACCCAGGTACACTGATGTAGGATGTGGGCACATTAACTGGTGTCTTAACTGATAGGCCAGATATCAGCCACTCACCGGATTGCAACTGTGAATGAGCTATTTAATGCCATCCACGACGTCTGCAGCACGTCATTTCCTTCAGATCTTGAGGCCCTCTGAGGAAAGAACACCCATTTGTACTATACAGCCATTCTTTGCTTCTCACATTTTCCTTTACTAAGTGTCTGCTGTGTGTCCAATGTTGGTTGTACTGTGGCATTATTTTATTTTTACTACATCCATGTCAAATAGATCAATAATTTCTTTTATAATTGAGCAAATAGTAACTGTAATTGTAAAGGATAAGTAGCTGGTCTGGCTAGAAAGTGCTAGACAGCGCTTTAGAAAGGGTTCCTGTTTATTTCACCTCTCTTCCCAACTGTGGGCCAAACCAAGTTTCTCTTTTTTTGTTCTTCTATTTTGCTCATTGTTTTATATCTTGATTTTTAAAATATTTCCTAACAAGTTGATCAAAATGAGGCGTCCCTCAAAGAATTTCTTAAAATCAAAAATAACTCTTAATACCTAAAACAAAATATTATCTGTCAAAGAGAACAATAGCTCTTCTTATTTAATAATCAATGACTAAAGTAAAAACTTGTGTCATGGTAAGTGCTTAATTTACCTATGCTGAGAAATAAATGACTACTTGGTTCCTTAAAGGAAATATGAGAGACAAGAGGAAAGCAAAGGAGAGAGGGAGGGAAGAAGAGGAAAAGAAGGAAGGAGGGAAGGAAGGAAGGAAGGAAGGCAGAAAGGAAGGAAGGAAGGAAAGGAAGGAAGGAAGGAAGGCAGGATAGGAAGGAAGACTGCTTTTGTTCAATAGGTCTTTCTTCAGTATTTGATTAAACTGAATGCATTTTTCAAATAAGTGTAGTGATATCACTGTTTGCATTACTCAGGGAGTGATGAATAAATTGATTACATTGTGGTCTAGACAGAATGATTACCAAAATTATACAACATGTCCAACCAAGAAAACTAAGTCACCATCAAACTAAATACTAGTTTTCAATTTAAGCTTGCTCTTAGGTTTTATTATTTTTTCCATTGTGAGTCAAATTTTTTGTTTCCAGTGTCACTAGTTATTGAAAACATCACTCTTTTTTAGATTTATTTATTTATTTGAAAGACACAGTTCAGATAGTCGAGGCAGAGAGAGAGATGTGTCTTCTATCTGCTGGTGCGCTTCCCAGATGGCTGCAACAGCCAGAGTGGAGCCAATCCTAAGCTAACAGCCAGAAGCTTCTTCCAAGTCTCCCATGTGGGTACAAGAGCCCAGCACATGGGCCATCTTCTATTACTTTCTCAGGTCATTGCAGAGAGCTGGGTCAGAAGTGGAGCAGCCCAGACTCAAATCGGGGTCTGTATGGGATGCTGGTGCCACAGGCAGATACTTAGCCCACTGTCCCACAGTGCAGGCCCCAACACCAATATATTTTGCAGTTTTCTATAACTGCATTTGCTGAATGGTACACAACACTAAGCCAGAATTGTTGTGCCAAATTTTCTTCAGGTGTGATAATTAAATAATTAAATATCTATCATGGCAATAAAATATCCATGAAAGAATTATCTCCAAGATGAAAATGCAGAAAAATGCACTTGCCACAAATGACCTTTAAAATTACAGATATTATACATTAAAATCTTTTCTATTTTTTATTTTTTAACTTTTATTTAATAAATATAAATTTCGAAGGTACAACTTTTGAATTATAGCGGCTTTTCCTCCCTTAACCTCCCTCCCACCTGCAACCATCTCATCTCCCACTCCCTCTCCCATCCCATTCTTCATCAAGATTCATTTTCAATTATCTTTATATACAGAAGATCAACTAACAGTTTGCACCCACACAGGAATACAAAGTATAAAGTACTGTTTGAGTAGTAGTTTTACTGTTAATTCGCATAGTACAACACATTAAGGACAGAGATCCCATATGAGGAATAAGTACACAGTGACTCCCGTTGTTCATTTAACAATTGACTCTCTTATTTATGACGTCAGTAATCACCAAAGGATCTTGCCATGAGTTGCCAAGGCTATGGAAGCCTCTTGAGTTCACAAACTCTGATCTTTAGACAAGGCCATATTCAAAGTGGAGGTTCTCTCCTCCCTTCAGAGAAAGGTACCTCAATGTTTGATGGCCCGCTCTTTCCGCTGAGATCTCACTCACAGAGATCTCTCATTTAGGTCATTTTTTTTCCCCACAGTTTTTTGGATTTCCATGCCTGAGAAACTCTCATGGGCCTTTTAGCCAGATCTGAATGCCTTAAGGACTGATTCTGAGGCCAGAGTGCTGTTTAGGACATCTGCCATTCTGAGTCTGCTGTGTATCCTGCTTCCCATGTTGGATCATTCTCTCCTTTTTAATTCTATCAGTTAGTATTAGCAGACACTAGTCTTGTTTATGTGACTTCTTTGACACTTATTCTTATCATTATGATCAATTATGAGCCTAAACTGATCGCTTTGACTAGTAGGATGGCACTGGTACATGCCACCTTGATGGGACTGAATTGGAATCCCCTGGCACATTTCTAGCTCTACCATTAGTGGTAAGTCTGGGTGAGCATATACATTAAAATCTTATTCAATACTGATCAGTAACATTCTAGTATGGATTATAGCCATTTTATTCTTGGGGTGAGAGTTCTAAATCTGATATAAATCCCTGGTGAAATAGTCATGAGAGAAGCTGCCAAATTTGACTATACAAATCCCAGCCATCTCATATACTGTAAAGATAAGAGACTAGTAGACGTAGAATTAAGTTTGAACTCCTCAGTGGCATATTTAAAAGCTCTAAATCTGGCACTCGGTAACATCTGAGAGGAAATAGAAACTCTTTTTAATGAAGTTAATAGGTTGCATTTAATGTATAAATATGGTAATTGTGTCTCCAGAAGTTCTTATATTATTTTCTTAGTTATCTGGAACTGTTGACTCCTGAAACAACCTAGGTATGAAGTTAAGATGAACATAGGCACACACACACACACACACATACATCCCATGACTAGAGGGATACATACATTATATTTTAATGACCTGATTGTATTTAAGGAAGAAAAACAGGTATCTCAGTATCCACATTAAAAACCTGTGAATGGAAGGGGAGAGGGAGTGGGAAAGGGGAGGGTTGCGGGTGGGAGGGACGTTATGGGGGGGAAGCCATTGTAATCCATAACCCGTACTTTGGAAATTTATATTCATTAAATAAAAGTTAAAAAAAAAAGAATTGAAGCAATCACCCTTAAAAAAAAGACTGGGTCAGAAATTGTGTGTAGCCATTTGAAACGTAAAACTTAACCTTCTGGGGAGTGAACCAGCAGATGGAAGATCTCTGTCTTGTCCTCTCTCTCTGTAAC